CCAGATGCCATGATCTTAGTTTTTTTGATGTTGAGCTTCAAGCCCACTTTTGCGGTCTCCTCTTTTACCCTGAGCAAGAGGCTCTTTAGGTCCTCTTCACTTCCTGCCATTAGAGTGGTATCGTCTGCATATCTGAGGTTGTTGATCTTTTCCCCAGCACTCTTAATTCCCGCTTGTGATTCATCCAGGCCAGCATTTCGCATGATGTACTCTGCATATATATTAAATAAGCAAGATGACAGTATACATCCTTGTCGTACTCCTTTTCCTATGCTAAACCAGTCAGTTGTTCCATATCCGGTTCTAACTGTCGCTTCTTGACCCTTATACAGGTTTCTCAAGAGACATGTGAGGTGGTCTGGTACTCCCATCTCTTTAAGGACCTGCCATAGTTTGTTGTGATCCACACAGTCAAAGTCTTTAGCATAGTTAATGAAGCTACTTTTTCCCACCATAGAGAACAATGGAGGGGATGGGGCAACCTTTTGGGGGGGCTGTAGAATGGGACCCCCTGGTCCAATGTTCTTCAAACGTGGTTGGTATCTTGGGGAGAGGCTCCAGCAGCTACCCTGTGAGTTTGGAGTCTCTCCCCCATGCCCCCTCCCCTCCAGCCCCCAGGATATACCCTATGTTTTCACCATTGACTTCAATGGCCCATAGGATATAATGGGGACGAATTGCCGCCTAATTTCGCTGCCAATTTGGCAGCAAGTCGATTCAGATCAGAGAATCTGAATTGACCTACAGCAGCCCAAAAGCGGTCCGAATGGGCCATTTTGGGGGGTGCATTCAGTTCGGATGAACCGAATGCACATCCCTATTCAATATCCCTCACAGAGTCGCCAATTATGCCAAAGTCTCCTATTGAAGGTCAAAGAAGACGCGGATGGCAAAGGATGAGATGGTTAGACAATGTCATAGATGCAACGAACATGAAGTTGAGGCAATTTCAGAGGACGGCGGAAGACAGGAAGGCCTGGTGGGATCTAGTCCATGGGGTCACGAAGAGTCAGACTCGACTGTGTGACTGAACAACAAAACTCCTATTGTTGTTTCCCTGTCCCTTTTATAAAGACTGTTTCTGCCTCTAAACATAGTGCTTATGTTTAGTCATCATGGAGGTACTTTTTGAATCAAAGGGTAGTCTTAAAAAGGGGATTAGGCATGGGGGATAGGGCTATAACAGCTATTGATAGTCCTATCCCACATGTCTAATCACCATTTCAAGACAGCTAACTACTCTTTGATTCAAGAAACAGCATCCTTAACATCATGTGGAGATAATATACATAAATTTACTAACGTGGGTTTGGGATTTATTGTAACCTGCTCTCACCTTTCCCTGATCACATCTAGGAGCTGGTGGATGGTCCCCGATGGACTCTAGCACAGAGCAATGGCTTCAGGTTGATCTGGGAGACAGAGTGGAGATTACAGGGGTTGCTACTCAAGGAAGATACGGAAGCTCAGACTGGACAACAAGCTATATTCTAATGTTCAGTGATACGGGACGCAACTGGAAGGAGTACCGAGAGGAAGACATCATCTGGGTAAGTCTGAATTGTTTTGAATTATTATTCACAGTACAATTAACTATAATTTGTGCTCAAATGCTATTGAGCCCTTTTCTAGAGTAATGAATATTGCTGCAAAGATTTAATTCTTGTGGTGGTGACAAAATACAGATGCCAACCTTCAGGTGGGGCCTGGGGATCCTCCAGAATTACAGCTCATCTTCAGACTACAGAGATTAGCTCCCCTGGGGAAAATGGATTCTTTCGAGATTGGACTTTATAGCATTGTACCCCATTGAGATCCCTGTCCTCCCCAGGCTCCACCTCCCAGTCTCCAGGAGTTCCCTGACCTGGATCTGGCAACCCCCCCCCACACCTCCCACCAGCAACCAGAGAAGACCTGGCAATGCCATGACAAAATCGTCTACAAATACGTGAACTCAAAAATCAGCAGGCAACTAAGATACTCAGCAGTAACGCAACATACTGTTTTGAGTTAATGGTTTGCAGAGCGTTTACTTTAGCTTTGGGTGCTTGGAAGTCATGGAGCTCTTGACAATGCCACAACAGCAACATGTCTTTATTCTTCAGTGTTTCACTGTGAGTGACTTGCATCAAAGTGTAAGGCAGTATGCGATTTGCAGTTCTGTCCCTACAAGATCAATGCTAAGCTTCCTTCCTTATTCTTTGTAATTTTTGAAGCACACAGGAACTACATTTGGTTGTTTTGTCAATGAATAGTGACAAACCTTTACCTTTACCTTTTTACATTGCCTAGGTAAAGGTAAAGGTTTCCCTTGCTCGAAAGCCAGTCGAACCCGACTCTAGGGGGCGGTGCTTATCTCTGTTTCCAAGCCGAAGAGCCAGTGCTGTCCAAAGTTTCCATGGCCATGTGGCCGGCATGACTAAAAGCCGAGGCGCACGGAATGCTGTTACCTTCCTACCAAAGCGGTACCAAAGCGGTACCTATTTATCTACTTGCAATTTCTTGCTTTTGAACTGCTAGGTTGGCAGGAGCTGGGGCCAGAGATGGGAGCTCACTCCGTCACGTGGCACTTGTGTCTCGAACTGCTGCAGTTCTGCAGTTGGGAGCTCACTCCGTCATGTGGCACTTGTGTCTCGAACTGCTTCTGGTCTGCAGTTCAGTGTCTTAACCGCTTGAGCCACCGCAGCCCCTTACATTGCCTAGAGCCCCACAACTGTGGGGATAGGCAATTAAAAAAAAGAGGAAATAAATTAATAAATAATGGCTGCCAGAAGCCCTTCTAAGGCTGCTAACACACACACTACACCACATCCTCAGCTTTGTTCTCTGTGGCACTGTTTAGCCTTTAAGTATTCTTTGCGGCAATCGACATTCCTGAAAATATCTAGTTGCAGTTCTAATTGCTAGCACATGCTGTAATCATGGCAGCTTAGATGTTATCAGGTGAACAATGAAATTTTATCGGAATAAGGTCATAGAATACTGTATGGTATAAAACAGTTAGAAGGAAACCTGGTAAAGTTATACTTTCAAGTGATTCTGTAACACTGTGTGTGACTCCTTATTTCTATTACTGTTCACCACGGGAATAGATGGCTTGCAGGTAACTGACAATGCTGACAATGATCAAATAAATTTATTGTGGTAACACAATTCTAGAATGTGAAAGCTGACAAAGAATTGAAGGTCATCTAGCCCATTCTGTCATACAATCTGATTTAGGATACTGTATACTTGAATGGGTAAATACAAAAATGGGTAAAGACAGCAGCCATGAAATTAAAAGACGCCTGCTCCTTGGGAGGAAAGCAATGGCGAACCTAAACAGCATGATAAAAAGTAGAGACATCACCCTGCCAACAAAAGTCCGCATGGTCAAAGCAATGGTATTCCCTGTAGTCACGTAGGGCTACGAGAGTTGGACTATAAGGAAGGCCGAGCGCCGAAAAATAGATTCTTTTGAACTATGGTGCTGGAGAAGACTCTTGAGAGTCCCTTGGACTGCAAGAAGATCAAATCAGTCAATCCTAAAAGAAATCAACCCTGACTGTTCCCTGGAAGGCCAGATAATGAAACTGAAGCTCAAATACTTTGGCCACCCAATGAGAAGGGAGCACTCACTGGAGAAGACCCTGATGCTGGGAAAGATTGAAGGTCAAAGAAGACGGGGACGGCAAAGGATGAGACGGTTAGACAGTGTCATCGATGCAACGAACATGAAATTGAGCCAACTGCAGAGGACGGCGGAAGACAGGAGGGCCTGGCGGGATCTGGTCCATGGGGTTGCGAAGAGTCGGACTCGACTGTGTGACTGAACAACAACAAAAGGAAGACTACACACTGGTCCTTTCCACACTAGACCTTAAATCCTGTTTCAACCCTGTCCCCGAACTTACATTCTACGCTACACTCAAGTTTACCCCTGTAATTATCTCGGGGTATTTTTTGTTTCCACATTACATTGAGGTTACCTGGGTTTCGCCCCACACTTGTCCCAGGATAAACGGATGCTGTAATAACCAGGGATAAATGCAAGGTATTGTGTCCTGATTTGAACTCTGATAAAACTAGGGATGAGTTCCAAGGGCAGAAAGGACCACTATGTACCTACAGCTGTACTCTATTTTTTGTATGGCTCATATATTGTATGAGAAATATAGGATTAATGCAGGTATCTGCATTCGGAGAGGCAATCTATGCTGGAGTTTGAACTCTTTCCTTCTGTAGTGCTGTATGAACCCAGTTAACATTCAAAGCAGATTTTTAGTGGGGAAAAGTGGGAAGGAAAAAGAGTGAGGGTTGGAGGGGGAGGTTGGCATGGTCCCTTTTCTGCAGGAACTCTCCAGTGCAGATAAACAATTACAATCTAATTATCTGTCCCATTGTTATGGCAAAGTGTTCTTGGCAGGTTGGCCCCCAGATGAGTGGAGTGGTGATGAGGTGATCAGATTACCTATGTCCTTTGGCATGTATAGGCTGGCTAGATGCTGTAGAAGGCATGAACACATGAAGCTGCCTTACTCTGAATCAGATTGTTGATCCATCAAGGTCAGCATTGTCTACTCAGACTGGCAGTGGCTTTCCAGGGTCTCAGGCAGAGGTATTTTGCATCATCTGTTACCTGTTGCTGGTGATGGAATCAGGGACCTTCTGCATGCAAAACAGATGCCCTGCCACTGAACCATGGCCCCTCCCATCCTTCTTATGTTGTTTTATATGCATTGGGTCCGGTCACATGCAGAATTAGCCACATGATAGGGACGAATGCCGCATGATAGGGACGATCACACAAAAACATCTTGCAAGTGTCCCACACCCGTGGGCAACCCGTATAGCCCCGCTGAAGATGCGGAGTAAAGAGATACTTGGGAAAGTTCAGTATTTTCCAGAAAAAGCATGGTGCAGGTGAGCATCTGATCGTGGAAGCGCTGGTATCCCATCGCATCCGGCGCTTGTCTGCATCCCACTGGATTTTTTTAATGCCTCCGTGGTATGTGCACAAACACGGATTCGCGTATGTGCACAAACACATTTCTGCCTAACCCCCTTGCCCTTCTTTGCCACACTTCACTATCAATGTGTGATCAGCAGCTGACGGCCTGAGTACGGAGCCTCGGAGGAAATCGGAGGCGCTTCATTTTGCTCCGGAACAAAAAGCCTCACTTCCTCCCTGGATTATCTCACTCGTGTGACCGGGGCCATTGTCTATTTGTAGTCACTGTTTGGAGTGGGGTGTCCCTTGTGGGCCAGCTGGCTGGCAGCAGGCAGAAGCCCCAGGACATTTTCTTTAAAAAAAAAAAAGAGCACAAAAAACAGGATATGTCATCTAAAAAGAGGACATCTGATAACTCTACTGTCAGTGCTATTCTTAGGCTTTTCCTCTAGAACCGTCTAGAAAACACAGCTAGAAAGGCTTCTAGATCTGTTATTGTTCTTATCCAGAGTGTTAGTTCCTAAATAAAGCTTTGTTAATCTTTAATCAGTGTGGTGTCCTGACTGCTGCTTAGGCACTGTGCCAAGACACAGAGGCTCAGCTGAGACATCACAAAAAAAAGTTTGATTAAATTAACTAGTTAGTGTAATGATATGACCATAGGCCATTCTGATAATTATTGTTAGTAATGGTTCATCAAACACCAGGATAAATTCATGCTTTGAAGCTGTTTTATTAAGCATAGTTAGTCATAGATATCATGGTTCGAACTTGGTTCCTTCATTGAGGTTAACCTCACTCATTTCCCAGGCTACAGAGACACCTGACCTGAATGGCTCAAAATCAATATGACTCTTGCCTTTAACTACCTGCAGTGATTTCACTAGCAATTCTCCCTGAGTGATGAAATTAGCATTTATTGTGGATCTGAATTATCATCCCTGTAAAGTATGTTGGTGCATTGCACTATGACTGTCTTCCTGGGTCAGAAAGCAATTTTCCTCCAGGCCAGTTTGGCCAGGGAAACCTGGAAGGGTTTTGTTTGTTTTTTTGGTCATCTTCTGGGCATGGAATAGGGGTCACTGGGATTGTGGGGGGAGATATTTGTGAATTTCCTGTATTGTGCGGGAGTTGGACTAGATGACCCTGGAGGTCCCTTCCAACTCTATGATTCTATGATTCTTGGCTGACCTCATGGTTATGGGTATTTCAGGGAACACTTACCTTCAGCTATTGCCACTTATACCTGAAGCCAGGTGCAACCTGGAGTGCAGCACATAATCTCTCCCTTATTATAAAAGAGTTTTGGGTGCCAGAATTCTAAAATTGGCCCCTTTAGTGTTAGGCCGAAAAAACTGCCACTCGGAAGACACTGGCTGGGTTCATTGGCTGCTTTGTGCAGTCCCGGCCAGCGTTCCAAGGTCATTTACATATGGAAGCTGATTGGACTACACTCCATTCCACACCTCAAACTC